AGAATACAGGAAGGACTGGATCAAATTTACCCTGCTGGAACTTCAGACAGGCGTGACCGAGGCCTGCCCGTTCATGTCCTGCCTGTATCCAACCCTTGCACACAATAACATTCAGAAAGATAAAAAAAAAACCAAAACTAAAAAAGTAGACAACAACTACAAAAACAGTCGTGGGTGCTGCTTTCCTGAGAAGCTTTTTGCTCTGCTTGTTAAGCAAACAACAACCCAACAACCCCCAAATGATTAATTATTAACTCATCTTTGTTGGTTGCCAGCAAAAGAAAAAGCGGATAACACTTCTGACTAACTAGAAAACCTGAATCCACACAATTCCTTGCAAGAGCATCAAAACACAACTCTTTCCCTGAATTTTAGAAAACTGCCCCGCTGACTACCCAAACTCCCACGGTCTTCAAAATCTTTAAAAGTATCCGTCAGTGGATTTCGCTCTCCTTTTTGTTGTCTTGATTATTACTATTTAATCTTTCACCTCTTCAGTTATGGTCTTATGATTGGGATTTTACATCTTAAATGAAAATGAAACTGATGAACATAAAGTAAAAGGCTATCATAAAGTTTATACACCACTAAAAGTGATTCGCTTTGTGATTTACTGCACCACTGCGCACTGGCAATTACAGATGTACCATAGCAGCTTTACAGCATCCAATGGAAGCGTTGCCTAAAAGATAACTGAGGTAGCTATTCATGTGTTATCACAGTCAAAATGCAAATAACATCATCCAGGCCAAGTGAAAGTAGAACAAACAGTGTTTTCCAGAAGATTATGAATTATTGTAAATGATTTCAGGTCCACTTTTGAATCGCCTTTAAAATGAAAGTACAGACACAAAAGGACATGAGTTGATACACAGGCTGTTTTGTGATAGGAGAACCGATTAAAACGCTGATTGATCATTTGTTTCAGGACTACAGGACAAGTTGAAACATTGTAAATTACTGTTGCCAACATCTCTGCAGACCCAAAAAGAAAAAGTAAAGGTGATAAAGGACATTAAAACAACAGCTTGCTGTTGCAGAAATGTGCGCGGTGCTGGGACATGTTCGTGCTGTTTTTCATCTGCTGATTTTTGGCAACTAATGCTTGTTATTGTGCAGGACATGCCGTACTGTGCTAAAGTCTTTTGATAACCTTAATTTCTCTTTATTTTACTGAGGACATTGGGGAATAGATGGTGTGATTATTTGAGATATGCACAAGGATGAATAAAGAAGGCAAAAACAGAGTTTATACAATTCTAAAAAGCTTGAAATTCAATATTTGGTTTCATCACCTTTATTCTTTAACACAGTCTGAACTTGCTTAAAAAGCTTAGCAGTCTTCAGGAATAGTTCTCCAGGCTTCTTGAAAAACATTCAAAGCTCTTCTTTGGATATCGGCTCCCTTTTGTTTCGTTCTTTGTCCCATACTGCTTCAGTAATGTTGATCTACAGGTATTGGGGAGGCCAATCCATGGCCTGGTGTGTTTTGGGAATCACTGCATGCTGAAAAAGTGTTAAGTGGCTTAACAAAATAAAGAAAAGGAAAAGAAAAACATCCCTCTGGAAATGGTCTAGTATGCACAAATTAGTGAACCAGTAGAGTTCCAGTTTACATGAATGTTTTTCAGAAGGTATGAAATTCCAAAAAAAGCTAACTATTATTGGCACAACAACAGGCAGGGCTCACAATATGGGCGTGGCTGCAATGAATCTATAAACTTTGTATCTTCATACACCAATTCAATATCTGACCACAGGTGAAACATGATGAAACAGTGTGTTTCTGTCCCTGAGGTAAGGCCAGAAATAGTCTTTTGCACAAACGTCATAATGTCACAATAATGTTAACTTTTTATTTTTGGGATGCATCACCACGTCATTGTGTCCTGCTGTGCAGCGGCATGAAAACAACAAAACAAGCTGTAGTTACTAAATGTACATGCAAAAAACAAAACAAAAAAATCTCTGAGGAAACGAGGAACTCACATTATTTTTTCATAACACTGTGAATGGTTTTGGATTGCATGCAGGCTGTTTCAGTAGCTGTAATTTGTATTTTTCTGAGTCATACTGCAGTAATACAAACAAAATGTTACTTGTTGATGTCTTTGCTGAAATAAAAAAGGCCTTCCTCGAGAAAGCTGTCATCTGCATTTTGCTCTAAAACCCATATATCACCGCCAGGATTTCGAGAACCCTCACTGTTGTGCACGCCACCCATGCTATGTAGACCGTAACACCACTGATGGCTTTTAGATGATTAAAGGTGCTTGAAAAAATGCAGCTGTTATTGGATTTAATGGGTGCCCTGGTGATATCTTGTATGTATTCACTCCTCCATGGACGTTCTGTGCAGCATGCAGCGTGAAGGTGTGCATCTGTCTCTTGATTCTTTCCCTGTTTCACAGAAATGAAACTCATGGAGCATGTGCAAACATTGAAGTAAACACCAAGCGCATTATCATGTAAATGCAAGACACGTGTGCATACACTGTTGCAAAACTGCATTGCTCAATGTATCATGATACAAATTTAGAGTACATCTGCAATGCATGCAAGGAAATCCAACACAGACATGCAGCACAAGCAGAAGGAGCTGTGGCATGCATCCAGTGTAATAAAATGAATGTTTCTCCTCAGGGCTAGAGCCTTTAACTGGCCTAACAACACAGAGCAGAGACAAGTAGACCCAGAAGCATTACAACATGCAGATAAGCGTACGAAAAGTTTGATTAAGCTTGTGAGGTATTCTCTGAGCGCAACCATGAAATGCACAATTTATGAGCCAAGCAGTTATTTATCAAATGCAGCAGTCGAACAAAGACTCAGTAGCCTGTTTGAAGGTCAGCTGTGCTGCTGCCTCAGAAGACAACAACCCTGATAGAAGACCATGAAGTTTCACAATGAGCCGTGAGATAAGTTCTTAAAAATGTAAAGTGATGATTGGCCTTTCTCAAACATCCTCTTCAGTTCTGTGAATTGTTTAAATTTGTATGTGTTACTACAGCAACTTGCACATGGACACTAAAGTTTTCCAAAGTAATGCTGTGTGAGGGGGTGTGCGCCAAATCCCAACAACAGTCGCTTAAATATCCTACACAGAGAAAACAGGGAAAACTCCAGCAATCAAACAACCAACGCCCCGTGAGCAAGAAATTGGCCACAGTGGAAAGGAAAAACTCCCCTTTAACTTGAAGAAACCCCCGGCACAAAGAGGTTGGAGTTGAGGGGACAGAGACGAGACAAAAGATGCAAAGCTTATCATGGATGTGAAGCTCAAGAGCTCACAGACAGAGTTGGGACATATTTAGAACTATTACTTCTGCTCGTGCAAGCACCAGGCTGATCAGACTTGTCCTGTTATAAAAAGAAACACGCTCACACTCCTCACACAGTCTGCCTCTGCTATCATATGCCTAACCGTGTGCATGTTTCCGCCCCTTTAAGTAATTCACATCAGCTGATCTCCAGCCTTTTCCTTAACTTTCAGTTTACTCGTTTTCAGCCTGACAAAAATGACCAGCTGAGGACCAGTTCCTCTCTCTGTAATGTGATACTGAGTATCAACAGCTGCCACCAATAGTTTCATTTCTCTATGTCTGGCAAAACTGTACTGAGAGACATGAATGCTCGCAGCTGTACGAGCAGAAAAGTAAATTTGCCCTCTTTGTTGTTCTTCACGCTGCAACGCTACTTCTTTAGAAACTAAACAGAAGTGACCTCACTGACCACTTTGTCATTTGTGATACAAGCCAAGCCGAGAAGCCCTCATTCCAGATAAAGCATCGATGAAGTACTTTATCCGCGGTAACAAGAAATCTGGGAATTCTTGAGTTCAATCGGGCATCAAATGAAATTCAAATTTATTGCCAGATTTCTCTGAAAACATGCTCCACGTTACAGGAAACGCAGGAAGAAATGCACCTCGAGAAAAACACTAAAGCAAGGTTTTCTTTAGGATTCAAACACGAATGAAGCGCCACAGCTGGCTGCTGCTGCCTCCACGCCATGTTACACTTGAAGACTCACACACAGACACGGGCACACACTCGATTGCTGTTTCACACACTTATTGTGAAACAAATGGCAGGCATAGTACCCTTTTCTGAGAAGTACTACACCTCACAAAATCTCATTGGACAATCAGATTTGAATATTCAAGATAAGACATAAAAAAGCCACCATGAGACTCCAGTTAAAGATAATTATTAACTTTAATACAACCACTAGCTATCTGAAAATCTGATGACTACATATAACTACTCACCTTAGCTGCAAGGAAGTGAAGTTCTGCAAGAAAAACAGTGAAATTACTGGAAGGATGTCATGCTGTGCACATTTCTGCAATGAATTACCCCCAAATGTAAAGACCCTGCAGAAAAGAGCCAAATACAAACAACAGAGAGTTACATCTGCAGCATAAGCATGACTAATTTACAAGCCCAGACCTGTTTTGCTAAATGTGCATGTATGTTTTCTTTTTAACATTATTTCTGCAAAAAGATGTGCAAATTTGCACTTCTTCGACATGTTAGGACACAGGAATGCTACATGTCATCTTTCGCCATTAGTATTTGATGGAAAGGGAGATGCTTATCAACCTGCAGGGGCAAAGTTACAAAAAAAAACAAAACAAAAGGACTGATCCTGATTGTTGATGCCATCTCTGAACATGAACCGGCATGCATGTTTAGGCAAACAAATCTGAATTTACATCATTTGAATTTTTTTTTTTTCAAAAAAAATATATAATTAAGAAAAACTACAAAAACTACAACCCCTAATGACGAAGTCAATCTAAACACCAACAAAAACTGCTCCCATTACTCGAATATACCACCTCTTTCTGTAAACGTCCTGCTGTCATGTGGCTTTGCGGTTTTTTTTTTTTTTTTAATTCTTGAAATTTCAGTTCAAAGAAGTGAAAGAGTAAGCTAGCGATCGTCCTCTCTTAGTTTCACTTTCGTTTCTAGGAAAGGAGGAGGTGGAGCAAAGCCTGTTAAAAAGCCTGTGAACTGTTTACCAGGCTTCACACACACAATCTAACGGCTGGAGCTCAAAGCCCAGAAGGTGTAAAGGTTAACCCCAAATGCAACTGTGCACCCTGCATCCTGACAACCGAGGGATTATTTGCAAGGAATTCTGCTCTTTGCCATCACAGCTTTCGCACTTTGGGATTACAGACCATACGGATCCTTAAACCGCTACATCAGTCAGAACAAAACGGTGAGCCTTTATTTCTCTCCATATATATATTAAGAAAAGAAAAAAGAAATAAATGATATATTTGGTTGGGATGCTTTTGGGGGGGGTGGAAAATGGCGATGGAGAATCGTAGCTGCTTTTGTTTTATGGGAAAACAGCGTTCAGAAAAATGTTAAACCATGGATCAGGCTCAGGTTTCTCTGAGCGCAGTCTGGCTGAAGTGAACGGTCAAGTATTCGTCTGAACGGCTTCAACATGCGATCGTTAAGAGTAAACAGCCGGATATCAGCACAGGTCGTCACCAGTGTTAATCATTACTCTTTCCTTGAATTTAGCTCAACTTCCATCCACTGGTGGCGCAAGTTTTTTTTCTTTTCCTTTTAGATCATTCGCGTTAAAGAAGGAAGGAAAATACCATTAATCACACACAGGATACTGTTGATTTTTTATGTATAGCTTATAAGAACAGGATGCTTTAAAGAAATCAAGTCAATGCATTTTAGTGTAAATATTTTATCTGAATTCTTAGTTAAATGATGCTTAAGTCATTACAGAAGAAGCAGTAAAATACTTGTGTGTGTGTGTGTGTGTGTGTGTGTGTGTGTGTGTGTGTGGAGGGGGGGGGATACGGATTGTACAGTAGTCTGGCTGTGGCAACCATCACTGTCGATTTTATGCCGGCTTAACCGCAGATCCAAGTCATAACAAAGCTGAACTGCTCAGTGGAAACTACAAGGCGTTTCTCGTCTATCTGCACACACCAGCGCTCTTTGTGCTTTGAGAAGTCTGGGTTTTTTTCAAAGCTGCTGTGAAAGTGATGCTAGCCTCAGTTGTGAGTGAAAAAGTCAATGACCTTTCTGTCTGTTTGTCTCTCAGGATGTCAGTGTGGTGGTTAGAGATGGGAGAGGGTCTGGGGCCTCTCTCCCCTGTAGGATGGTAGCCGACGGCACGGTCGAAGGCCATGACAAGACCCGCTTGTCAAGCTTGTCATCATCATCATCCTCATCCTTGTCTTCCTCCTCCTCCTCAACACTTCGCACCGAAGTGGAGCAGCTTCAGCGTCAAGCCAATCAACACCGTAGAACGCCCTCCGTCTATCTGACTCACTTTCCGACGTTCACCTGCAAGGAGGACTGCAGAATCATCACAGACACAGCGTCCAAGCTCGAGCGCTGCGGCTTCTACTGGGGTCCCCTGGGAGTGGAGGACGCTCACCGCATGCTTCGGGACGCCCCGCTCGGCAGCTTCCTCATCCGTGATAGCCGTCAGAAAGACGTCTTCTTCACGCTGTCCTACCACGCCAAGACGGGACCGGTCAGCGTGCGCATTGACTACAAGCGCCAGAAGTTCTCACTAGCGGGCAACCTGCGGTCTTTCCAAACACTCTTTGCCCTCTTGGAGCATTACATCAATTCTCCTAAGAAGAGCTTGAGCGTCCCTTACAGGAAATGGGAACCGACGCTGCAGGAGCTGTGCAGGAAGCGCATCTTGGAGCTGTGTGGAGGGGCAAGCCAGGTTCCAGAGCTGCCGCTCACACATGTCGCCCAAGACTTTCTGTTGGAATTCCCTTACAAACTGTAACCAGCTTACCATACAAACTGTTGACAGTATTATTTATAATTTCAAGAAGGTCGCCCTTACCAAGTAACAGCAAGGGATTGGTAAAGCCTGTCTGCGACTCAGTGGAGATTGAGACTGCTGTGATATGGTTACAGGGAAAACCCTTTGAGCTGAAAAGCTCCCAAATGCTCGAAAAGGGAGAAGACGTTAGCAGTCGAGTGCAGACAGCCTCCAGCTGGAGTGGGTTTGTGGCTGACATTTCAACATATATTACCTCTAGAGACTCAACTCCCAGTTTCACATGGACAGAGCACCTGTTGCTCTTGAGGAAGTATGAAAAGTTGGGATGTGCTGCATTAAAAGAAAACTACAGACACAACAGAGCTATTTTAGAGATGAAAGAACCGGTGGGCTCGCCTGTGAATGCCGCCGTTCCACTGGAAACTGTAGTCCAACATAAATATTATCCAAGGACGTTAAGAGAGCGGACATTTAGACGCATGGAGGGATGGCGGAGGGTACTGTTGCCATGCCACAAGGGAGATATATTTTTGTAGCAGGTTTAAATACTCTAATAATGTGGAATGTTTACATCACACATGAATGTCAATCAGCACTGACTCTCGAACTGTCATCTGTCTCATTCTTGAAAACCCAACGGAGGATGTCAGTGTCGAAGACAGGCCTCAAACACATGTACTGTAACTCTTAGCTCTCCTGTCTCCCTCACAAAGCTCACATGTGAGAGTTTCGTGACTGAATTGAACATATTTTTTTAACATGTCTTATTATTCTATTTTAAATAAAGTATTTAAACTCACTGCGATAGTTATGTTTTACTTTTTAACTTTTCCTGTCATTCCGCACTGACTTGTGGGAGCTTTGTGGGAGTTAAGTGAGAGAAGGAGGGACACACACACACACACACACACACACACACACACACACACACACACACACACACACACACACACACACACACACA